GGGACACGAGGGGTGTCCCCTCGTGTCCCCACGTCCCTCTGTGTCCCCACGTCACCCACACCCTTCTGTGTCCCTATATCCTCCGCACCCCCCATGTCCCCATACCCTCCATGTCCCACTACGTCCCCATGTCCTTCTGTGTCCCCAAGTCCCCCTGTCCCTGCCACGTCCTGCTACGCCCGTCTGTCCCATGTCCCTCTGCATCCCCACATCCTCCATGTCCTGTGTCCCCACGTCCCTCTGCGTCCCCGCATGTCCCACGTCCATCTATGTCCCCATGTCCTTCCGTGTCCCCACGTCCCTCTGCGTCCCCGTATGTCCCATGTCCATCTATGTCCTCATGTCCTTCTGTGTCCCCATGTCCCTCTGCAACCCCAGGTCTGTGTCCCTATAATCCCCCTGTCCCCCTGTGTCCCCATATCCTTCACGTCCCTCTGTGTCCCCTTGTCCCTCTGTGTCCCCGTGTCCCCATATCCTCCGTGTCCATCACCTCCAAGGCCTTCTACGTCCACATGTCCCTCTGTGTCCTTCCTGTCCTTCTGTGCCGCCATGTCCCCCACATTCCTCTATGTCCCACTATGCCCCTCATCTCCTTCTGTGTCCCCATGTCCCTCTGCGTCCCCATGTCCTCCATGTCCATCTATGTCCTTCATCTCCTGTGTCCCCATGTCCCCCTGTGTCCCCATGTTCTCCATGTCCATCTGTCCCTCATCTCCATCTGTGTCCCCATGTCCCCCTGCATCCCCATGTCCTCCATGTCCATCTGTCCCTCATCTCCTGTGTCCCCATGTCCCCCTGTGTCCCCATGTTCTCCATGTCCATCTGTCCCTCATCTCCATCTGTGTCCCCATGTTCCTCTACATCCCCGTCCTCCATGTCCTTCATCTCCATCTGTGTCCCCATGTCCCCATGTCCTCCATGTCCACCTATGTCCCTCATCTCCTGTGTCCCCCTATGTGCCCATGTCCTCCATGTCCATCTGTCCCTCATGTCTTTCTGTGTCCCCATGTCCCTCTGTGTCCCCATGTCCTCCATGTCCACCTATGTCCCTCATCTCCGTCTGTGTCCCCATGTCCCTCTACGTCCCCATGTCCTCCACGGCCATCTATGTCCCTCATCTCCATCTGCGTCCCCATGTCCCTCACATCCCTCCATGCCCCCAACACCCGTCCATGCCCCCCACACTCAAGTCCCACCATTCCCCCCATCCCCCTCTCCCTCC